TAGAAAAGATCTACTAAAGTAAGAGATACCACATACGAGTTTGATAAACAATATGAACAATGATAAACGTTACGAAATATGCAATGACATATAACCCATGATGCACGAGTTAGACTGCGCAGGGACCCCCCTGCCCTTCGGTGATCATCACCACGCGGTAGATGAGCCGAGGAACGCCTTAGTCTCCGGAAGGAGCCTAGAATGTGGGTGATAGCTAAGCCTAGCTACCATGTACGTACACAAGCCCTCCTGATGAAACCCGTTAGATCCCGAAGGTTCCTGGATGGGCCCACGGAAGAGGCGCACTAGGCCTGACCTCTTGCCGCGGTATGCAAGTATGGCATGATCCTAAAACATGCGTCTAGGGTATACATGATGTTATGAATGCATTGCTGTGATGAGTGAAGTTCAACACATACATATACGTTTGATTCCATATGAAATGATTTATACAAAGTGATGGCTTGGGTTCAGAACCGGCTGATAATCGATTATCCCTTCGTGATAATCGATTATCATGCATTTCAGCTTCTTTTCCCAAAGTCCTACAGCTTGTGATAATCGATTGTCATCTTCTGACAATCGATTTTCATGTTGTTTATCCGGAGAAATCCAAGTTCAGCGAGGCCTGTTAATCGATTATTATATTGTGATAATCGATTATCAGTGAAACCAAACTCTGACTTGAGAATCCGCAGGGCCTGATAATCGATTATCACGTATGTGATAATCGATTATCACGCTATGCTGAATCAACTGAGGAGTCCAGCATGACCTAATAATCGATTGTCTGGTCCTGTCAATCGATTATCAAGGCATGCAGGTTCTCATTTTGACTGTTTGGTTGTGATCAGTACGTTGGAAGTTTTTGAAATGAACGTTTATGTTTACATGTTAAGTAATCTATGAATTTACGAGGTTTCAAAAACGTGCTTATCAACAAGTACATAACCGAAAGGTCCAAATAACGAAGAGTCATGATAACGTGGACACACGTATGTTTAGCTGGGTAATCCTATGGATATAACCATATGATTGAACTACGAATTCTAAAGTTAGAGGGCAACGTACTCACCTCAAAATGAAGGGGTTGATGAATGGAAAACGAGATGAGCGGACGTACGACTAACGATCGGCTTTTCGCATAAGTTTCCTTCTCTTCCACCTCCTCGTCTACTCATCGGAATCCCTCCTTGAGCAGTTATGGGTTGGCCGGAAGTGCACCAAAGGTAGAGGGAAGGGAGTGGGAGTTACAAAATGTGAGGAGGTGAAGGAAATGAAGAGGGAGTTGATATATATAATGATGGTGGAGTAATGAGTGTTAATGGTGAATTAAAATGGGGAAAATGAATGGTGGGGAGTTATGGGAGATGAAGAGTATGGCGTGTGGAGAGGGAAGGGGAGTTACTTCCCACAATTTCACTCTGTTGTGTAAAATCTGTCCCGAACGGTACGCACTTTTCCCCCCGAACTGATCCAAATCGAGAACTGATTGTGTTTTCGGAAATAACTAGTCAAAACTAAATTTATGATATCTTCAAAATATTTTTCTTAAAACTTTATTTTCGAACTTCTGGATTCATCCCAGACATTAATTAATTTATTTAATTAATGTCGAGAGACCCGTTATTGAAACATATTTTATAATTAAAATACATTAACTTTGGAAGTCCATTTAATGAGATCGAAATCTCAATATTTATTATTTAAAATAATGAGTCTCACTAAATAACTAATATTTATTTATTCAAAATACTGGCTAGCTAATAGGTCAGTTTGTAGAGCGTTACAATTATCTCCCCCTTAAAGGAATTTTGTCCCCGAAATTCCCCTTAAGTCACACCTCAGGTGTTTAGGAAGATAGTGCACTACCCAAAACTTCGTTTTACGAAGCACACAAGGGCATAATAGATTTAAGAGCAATCGACTGATTTTGTTCAAAGAACTTATTTGGTTCAGACAAGTGGGACAAAACGTTGCATCGATGACATCCTCGACTATGCCATAAGTTAGCAGGTAACCCACTCATCTAGTCGGGCTGAGTCCACTAGAGGAACTTTCACACCTGCGCCGCAGATACTGTTGGAAGAGTCCACGCTGAACGTTTCCTCTGGATCATCTCTTTCCCATGCTTCCTTCCGGCACTTCCAGATCCTTAGCCTTGCTATCCGAGCCTTGCGATGTGCACGCTGGTATCGCTCCTTGGAGTCGTATATCTTCCTCTTGTTCTTTCGTCACTTACCGAGCACGAAGGTTTGACTAGAGTCAACGCTTGACACGCTTCTAACACTAATGGTACTCATCTAACAATCGCAGAGTATCAAAATAGGAACAAGTGAGCGTATAACACAATTAGTTTGACGCTTCGATGCGCTCACGTGCTCAGGCACCCTTACGTGGATCTACCTATCCGTGATATGTTGCTTAACTCACATAATGAAAGAAAGAGGCATAATAATTATAACAACTTGAATGATAACTATTACCTTTCTGAATGGAGATACAAAGCGGGATGCGATAGTGGATCCTGGAGAAAATGTTTTCAAAATGTGTTTCAAAATTCACTTTTTAGAACCGTATCTCTCTGATACAAAAATGTAACACCGTCTTTCCCGCGAACCCGGTTCACTGCGGCCCGACGAGCTGGAGAGGTTACGTAGACGGTTCTTAAGGACCGTCCACAAAGAAAACCCGTCGTTGCTTGTAACGGAAAACCCCTTGATATATTTTATTAAATGATGAAATTAAATTCACTTAAAAGAGACGTTTTATAGCAGAAGCAAATGTAATCGTTTAACGTTAAGTCACAAATAGAGTAAGTGCAACAACGGTGGGTTCATGCCCAAAACGTTTGAATATTAAATAGAATTAAATCTGATTCCCGCTGCCGTCGATCCGCCGCCCCAATCTCCCAATCATCCGGGTTAGGCTCCATGATTATCTTGCCTACCCGCGTATAGCAAAGTAAACAACGTTATACGCTCAGCAAAAGCTGAGTGGTAATCTAACAGTAGAACACATAGTATATTCACATTGATATAAATATAATTGCACCTGTACTAAAGTACGAGATACCACATACGAGTTTGATAAACAATATGAACAATGATAAACGTTACGAAATATGCAATGACGTATAACCCATGATGCATGAGTTAGACGGCGCAGGGACGCCCCTGCCCTTCGATGATCATCACCACGCGGTAGATGAGCCGAGGAACGCCTTAGTCTCCGGAAGGAGCCTAGAATGTGGGTGATAGCTAAGCCTAGCTACCATGTACGTACACAAGCCCTCCTGATGAAACCTGTTGGATCCCGAAGGTTCCTGGACGGGCCCGCAAAAGAGGCGCACTGGGCCTGACCTCTTGTCGCGGTATGTGAAACCCCTTGGAACCCGAAGGCTCCTGGACGGGCCCACGGAAGAGGCGCACTAGGCCTGACCTCTTGCCGCGGTATGCAAGTATGACATGATCCTAAAACATGCGTCTAGGGTATACATGATGTTATGAATGCATTGCTGTGATGAGTGAAGTTCAACACATACATATACGTTTGATTCCATATGAAATGATTTATACAAAGTGATGGCTTGGGTTCAGAACCGGCTGATAATCGATTATCCCTTCGTGATAATCGATTATCATGCATTTCAACTTCTTTTCCCAAAGTCCTGCAGCTTGTGATAATCGATTGTCATCTTCTGACAATCGATTTTCATGTTGTTTATCCGGAGAAATCCAAGTTCAGCGAGGCCTGTTAATCGATTATTATATTGTGATAATCGAT